TTTAACAATCAGGTGGATAGGATGATGTGTTCAGTGGAAAGTGACCATCCGTTTCCCCACCTACTCCTGTCATTGCTCAATGGGCTCATGAACAAAGTGGCCATGGTGGCAGGGATGGAAGTTACACACAAGCTCGCCAACATGGACTTCCACCTGCCAAGGCTGATTTCTCTGGAATACAGCAGATTCTTTAGGACATCTCTTAGTACTGCCCTGCCCTGTGGTTAAAGTCAATGTAAAATCACAGGAACCCAATCCTGATATGACTACTAATGGCCCAGACCCTTCAGGAATGAAGGTGTGGGTCACCTCGCCAGGCAAAGGACAACGACCAGCTGAGGTTCTTGCTGAGGGAAGGGAAATACAGAATGAGTGGTAGAAGAAGGTAATTCTGAATATCAGCTATGACCATGGGACCTGTTGCAGAAACAAGGACTGTGATTGTTTTATTTCTACATTATATGTTGTTGTTGTTAAGTGCTGTTGAGTCAGCCCTGACTCATAGTGAGCCCTCCTTGGGTTTCCAAGGCAGTATCGCTATGGAAGTAAATTGCCCCATGTTCCTTCCAATGAGTGGGTGGTGGATTTGAACCGGCAGCCTTTTGGTTAGCAGTCAAATGCCTTAGGCACTACGCCACCAGAGCTCCTTCTTCTTTGTATATGTGCATCAAATATTTTTGTTTTCTTCTATTATGAACTGTGAAATGTAAATTAAGGTTAATGTGTCTTGGTTGTATGCATGTCAGTGTATCATGTTAGATGCAAATATGACTTTATAATTGTCCTTATTGAGAGATTACAAATGGTCAAGAAGATGTGTACAACAGCCAAATTGACAAGGAGTGGACTGACATAGTTTGAGCTCTGTGTCAACATGGCTGAACTACAAATCTGTGTGGTGTAAGGAATTGTATATGGATTATTCCCATGATGTGATCTGTTGTATATGTTTTGAGCCACCAAACGATTGAAAGGGAGTTTCCCTAGGGGTGTGGCTTGCTTCCAATAAATTTATGGACATCCTGGCCAAAGAGACACTCTTGTGTGGATTGGGATCCTGTTGTGCTGCATACATATGTCCAAGAGTGAGCAATTCACCATTCGGCCTGGAGATCTTGGATTTGTCATTTGTTGGAGTCAACAGCTGATATACTGCCTACCAACCTTGAGCTCACCAGGCCCTGCAGCTGCATGCGTCAGGAAAAGCCTCCAGCTCAATGTTTGATCCTAGAATGTGGGACTTGCCAGCTTCTATAAGTGTGTGAACCATTTTCCTAAGATCAATTTCCTTATATCTATATGTATATATAAGCTTTACTAGATTTGTTTCTCTAGAGAACCCAGCCTAACACAGTAAGGTAGCACAGAGAGCAAAATGTTCATTTTAGACACGATTGACTGCTGAGACCTGACTTGCAAAAGGAAGAAAAAATTGTACTTTCAGTTCTTAACAGGTGGGAACATAATATGAGAGTGTTTAAAAACACTCAGGTACATTTCACTGCTCATCCACTTCAACACCTCTCAATGCAGCTACACAGGATTCACAGGGCTCCACTGACTGTCATGACCAGGACAAGGAAGAGACATTGTGAACACTCAGAAAAGAAAAACCCATTAGCAGTGGGCTAAATATGAGCATTTAGGAAACTGGAAAAACAAAAGCAGCATGAATTAGTAAGTTTAAAGCAAACAAAGACCATAATAATGGCACAAAACACAAAAGACTTTTCGATTCTAGTTCAATGACTAAGGAGCTTGAAAGTCAAAAGGTACATCCTCACAAAAAGAAATGTGCACATACTTAATTTAGAAATTACAGGTCAGAAATGGGACTACAGCAATATAGTGAAAACCTAGGAGCACAAATCAGAACAGGAAAACTTTAAATGCAATGGATAAATGGCTGTCCAGCTCGATGCAGACAAATTTCAGCGTTAAGAATATCGGGATGGGGAGAAGAATGGTATCGGTCCCACAGAGTTTTATGCGCAGGAACCTTATCAGGTCCACAGCACGACCAGCAGAAAATTATCTTTGTGTGCTCCTTCCAGAAGGGGGACGAAGAAAAGCAGATAATCAGCAAATTTCCAAGAGGGTTCTGCTCTCCCCGAGGAGGACTGCTTCTGTCATTAAAATATTAACTCTTGCTTTCAACAACAACCAAAAAAAAAAATTAAGGGATAGGAAATAATGATGGACACAGGGAAGAGGTAACTACAGGGAGGAAGTGGGATGAGAGCTGTTACATTGTGGGGACCTGCAGTCATTGTCATCATACAAAGTGCGTATGAACTGCTTTATGGGAAATGAATTTCTGTGTAAACATCCACCCAAATCACAGCAAAAGCTAAAAAAACATAAATTCCCTCCTAACCTTTTCACAGTTGATATACACCATAGCAGTAACACATCTTCTGTGATTGTCATACATGATTTGTGTATCCTTGGACTACCTAGCATGGGGATAATGTTGTTGTTGTTGTTGTTGTTATGTGCCGTCGAGTCGGCCCCGACTCATAGCGACCCCTCCTTGGGTTTCCGAGGCAGTATCACTACGGAAGTAGATTGCCCCATCTTCCTTCTGAGGAGTGGCTGGTGGGTTTGAACCGCCAGCCTTCTGGTTAGCAGTCAAGTGCCTGAGCCACTATGCTACCAGAGCTCCTTAAAGTCTGATTACAGAACCCAAATAGGAAAAGGACAAGGGGAGTCTTGGGCACTCTCTGAACATGTACAATTTTAATGGGAACAAGTCCAAAAATGCAGAAACCTACGCAAAGGAGCTGTAGTTACCAAATCTTGAACAGTATGTGCAAAAAAAACCAATAAGAAAGATGTAAGATGGTTTACACTGTACGTGAGTGACTGGTAAAACAATGTCCTATTTATCCAATATCCATAGTTACAACACAACTACCATTAAGGTTCTTCCACAGGAAGATTGCCTCCTCTAGGAATGCAAGCCCCACATCCCTGCACACTGGTGACACACTGTCTTCATGCAGCTCAGTCCCATCAGTCAGATCTAGGCACAGACCAACATCCCCATGATCTTTCATGTGCAACTGTATAGGGCAGGTTCCATTCTCTGCAATTCCCTCTCTTCCATGTACAAAGCCCATGTAGTCAGTCTGCTGTCTTCTTTAAGTTAGGGGTGGGTGAGGTGAACCAACAGGGATTCCAAGATAATGGACATAGATTATATTAACAAGCAGGTGCTAGTTTGTAACATTCATCAACAAATTTTTACATATTGCGCTTGCAAGTACAATAGCGTACTTGAAAGTCTATAATGGTTTTTATGTATACAGAGACACGTTATGTATGCTATAGACTGAAAGAGATATTTGAGTCACATTACATACACACTGTAACAAACTCTTTGGAAGCAATGATTAGTATAGAAAATATTCTTTGCTAAATGCCAGAATGAAGATTAAACAATCTACAGTATGGATTACAATTCAGTATGAAGAAAATAAAAATCCTCACAACTGGACCAATAAGCAGCATCACGATAGATGGAGAAAAGTTTGAAGTTGTCATGGACTTCATGTTAACTGGACATACAATCAACACCAATGGAAACAGCAGTCAAGACATTAAAAGACGTATTGCATTGGGCAAATTTGTTGCAAAAACCTCTTTCAAGTGCTGAAGAGCAAAGACATTTCTTTGAATACTAAGATGAGCGTAACACAAGCCATAGGATATTTAATGGTGAGTGTATTCAACTGTATGTGAAATAACATCATTAAAACCATGAAAAAAAATTTAAAAGATACTTGCTAAAGGCAATTTACTGTCCTTTTATTTCTAATACCAACTACTTAAGAAAAAGATAAAGGTTGGATAGGAAAAGGAAGAAACCTGGTAAGGATGGTCCCACAGTTACAGTAGAACAATCATTTCTTCCCAAGCCACAAAGTAGTTCTAATCACCCAGTCTTTGAGTTGGTATTATTTTTTTAATCACTGAGAAACTTTGTTATTTAAGGGCTGATTTACAGGAATTTGGTACTCCAAATTATCACAGGAAGGTGAAAACATCTCAGTCTTGACACAGAAGTGTCTCCAATATGTGTCTTAACTGAGAAGTGAGATACGAGGACCAACTCTAGGCTTTCCCACATTCTTACAATTCATAAGGCCTCTCTCCACTGTGAGTTCTTCTCTTTAGTGAGGGTTGAGGAATCACTGAAGGCTTTCCTACATTGCTTACATTCAAAAGGGATCTCTCCCCTGTGTGTTTTCATATGTACAGTGAGGGTTGAGTAATTGCTAAAGGCTTTCCCACATCACTTACAGCCATAAGACCTCTGTCCACTGTGGAATTGCATATGTAAAGTGGGCTTTGCCTTTTGACAAAAGGTTTTCCCACATAGCTTGCATTCATAAGGCTTCTCTCAACTGTGAATTCTTATGCGTTCTGAGAGACAACAGGAATGACTAAGTTTCCCACATTCCTTATGTTCATAACACCTTCCCCCACTGAATATTTGTATGTTGACGTAGCTGTGATGACCCCTAAAGGGTTTTCCACATTGCTCTCATTTGTAAGGCCTCATTGCACTGTGACATCTTAAATAATGAGTGAGGTCAGAGGAATTTCTAAATCCATTCCCACAGTCCTTAAATTCCTAGGGCCTATTTCCACTGTGCGTCCTTCTATGTTTAGAGAGCTGTGAGGGCTGACAAAATACTTTCCCACATTCCTTACATTCCTAGGGCCTCTGTTCATTATGACTTCTTATATATCTAGTGAGGTCTGAGTGTTGAACAAATGCTTTCCCACATTGCTAACATTAAAAGGCTTCTCTCCACTACAAATTCTTTTATGTTCAGAGAGCTGTAAGAGCTAACTAAATGGTTTCTCACATTACTTACATTCATAGGGCCTCTCCACTATGAATTCCTTTATGTATACAGAACCTTGAGGGCTGGCTAAATGCTTTCCCACATTCCCTAAATTTATAGGGCCTCTCTCCACTGTGAACTCTCTTATATACAGAGATCTGAGAGCTTCCTAAATGCTTTACCAAATTCTTTACATTCATATGGGCTCTCTCCATTGTGAATTCTTTCATGTACAGACAGGGTAGAAGAACAACTAAATGCCTTCCCACATTTCTTACATTCATATGGCCTCTCTCCACTGTGAACTCTTATGTACAGAGGTTTGAGGCCTGAGGAAGTACTTTCCCACATTCCTTACATTCATAGGGCCTCCCTCCACTGTGAACTCTTTTATGTATAGAGAGGTTTGAGGACTGAATAAATGTTTTTCCACATTCCTTACATTCACAGGGCCTCTCTCTACTGTGAACTCTTTTATGTACAGAGAGGTCTGAGGGGTAACGAAATACTTTCCCACATTCTTTACATTCACAGGGCCTCTCTCCACTGTGAATTCGTTTATGTAAAGAGAGTTGTGAGTGCTGACTAAATACTTTCCCACATTCCTTACATTCATAGGGCCTCTCTCCACTGTGAACTCTTTTATGTACAGAGAGGTTTGAGGCCTGACGAAATACTTTCCCACATTCCTTACATTCATAGGGCCTCTCTCCACTGTGAACTCTTTTATGTACAGAGAGGTTTGAGGACTGAATAAATGTTTTTCCACATTCCTTACATTGATAGGGCCTCTCTCCACTGTGAACTCTTTTATGTACAGAGAGGTCTGAGGGGTAACGAAATACTTTACCACATTCTTTACATTCACAGGGCCTCTCTCCACTGTGAATTCGTTTATGTAAAGAGAGTTTTGAGTTCTGACTAAATACTTTCCCACATTCCTTACATTCATAGGGCCTCTCTCCACTGTGAACTCTTTTATGTATAGAGAGGTTTGAGGCCTGACGAAATACTTTCCCACATTCCTTACATTCATAGGGCATCTCTCCACTGTGAACTCTTTTATGTACAGAGAGGTTTGAGGACTGAATAAATGTTTTTCCACATTCCTTACATTCATAGGGCCTCTCTCCACTGTGAACTCTTTTATGTACAGAGAGGTCTGAGGGGTAACGAAATACTTTCCCACATTCTTTACATTCATAGGGCCTCTCTCCAGTGTGAATTCGTTTATGTGCAGAGAGGTGTGAGGGATGACTAAATGCTTTCCCACATTCCTGACATTCATAGGGCCTCTCTCCACTATGAATTCCTTTATGTGTTGAGAAGGTTGAGAACCGACGAAATGCCTTCCCACATTCCTTACATTCATAGGGCATCTTTCCTCTGTGAATTCTTTCATGTCTAGAGAGGACTGAAAGCTCACTAAATGCTTTTCCACATTCCTTACATTCATAGGGCCTCTCACCACTATGAACTCTTTTATGTACATTGAGGTCTGAGCAGTTCCTAAATGCTTTACCACATTCTGTACATTCATAGGACCGTTCTCCATTGTCAATTCTTTTATGTACAGAGAGGGTATAGGAACAACTAACTGGCTTCCCACATTCCTTACATTCATAGGCCATCTGTCCTCTGTGAATTCTTTCATATCTAGAGAGGTCTGAAAGATTACTAAATGCTTTCCCACATTCCTTACATTCGTAACCATTATCTCTTCTCTGAAATTTTGGATGAAACATCAGGGATGTTGGATGACTACTGATTTTACAACATTCTTCACACTCACATTTATGACCTTTCACATGTGTACAAAAGGATGAAAAACTACAGAAATACTTGCAACGTTTGTTACATTCATAGCATTTCTCACCAGTGGATACTGTCACAGGAACCTTAAGGGTTGACATGCGAAAGTCCTTCCTATGTACATTAAATTTCGGGGGCTTCTTCCCCTTAAGAGTTTTCACAGGAGTGGTTCGTTGAGAGGGACAACTGCCAGCTGCACCACATTCCATACAGCGACAGGTATTGCCTGTGGACGGCGATCTGGTGTGACACACAGGTGAAGACACGTCCATGAAGGCAGTTCCACACACACAGGATTGAAAAGTACTGACCTCCAGAGAGTTCCTCTGTACCACAGCAAGATCTGGAACATGGCTGAAGCTTTTCCCACACCGACTGTGTTCACTACCTTCATAAAGGATCTTTACATTATGACTTCTGTTAAAGACAGGAAATATGCTGGTGGAAACAGATTTGTTCTCATTTCATCATCATCAGACATGGTGAATGTGCATGGTTTCTGCTCTGATTTATTCCATCTTTCATTGGTCAATTTATCTAGCAGAAATATTACTAATACAGTTACTATTTCTCTCGAATACTAGACTTTCTGGTAATTGGGTTAAAATGAATAATGTGTATAATTTTCAATATCTGAAATTTATGAAAATGTCGCATTGTAAAAATTTTCTGAACCCTTATTTTTCAGCTAGATTTATACATATAAAGATGTATATATGCATATGCGTGTGTATATGTATATACAGATCAGCATCTATATTGAAGGAAAAAAAATCAAAACTGCACTGAAGGAACTGATGAAAATCAAGGCTCCAGGAATTGACGGACAACCTATTGAGGTGTTTCTAAAAAAGGATCTTCCACTGGAGACACTCACTGATCTATGTATGACAAGAGATTTCAAAGACTGCAACCTGGCCCACTGACTGGAAGAGATCCATTTTGTACCAATTCCAAAGAAAGGTGATTCAACAGAATGTGAGGATTATCCATTGAAATACTTAATGTCACATGCAAATGAAATCTTGCTGAAGATAACTCAAAAACAGTTGAAGCAGTATATATTGACAGGGAATATACCGAAAGGCAATCTGGATTCAGAAGAGGTTGTGCAATGAAAGAAATCATTCCTGATGTCAGATGGATCTTGGCTCAGAGCGAAGAATACTAGAAGGATGTTTACTTCTGTTTTATTGACAATGCAAAGGCATCACACTGTGTATCATTGGAAATTATGGATAACATCGAGAAGAATGGCAACTCTAGAGCACTTGACTGTACTCATGAGGTACCTGCACACGGACCAGAGACTATCATTCAAACAGAACAAGGGGACACTGCGTGGTTTAAAATCAGGAAAGAGTGTTTCAGGGTTGTATCCTTTTATCATATTATTCAATTTGTATGCAAAGCAAACAATCTGAGAACGTGGACTATAAAAACAACGTGGCTTCGGGATTGCAGGAAGACTCATTAAGAACCTACCATATGCAGACGACAAAACTTTGCTTGCTGAAAGGGAGGACGACTTGAAGCAGTTACTGATGAAGATTTAAGACTTTAGTCAGCAGTACGGATTACACCTCAACATAAAAAAATCCTGACAACTGGATCAACAAGCAGCATCCTGATATACTGATAAAACATTGACAACTGTCAAAGATTCAAGTTACTTGGGTCCACAATGAACACCCAGGGAAGCAGAAGTGAAGAAATCAGATGATGTATTGTCCTGGGCGAATGTTCTATACAAGACCACCTTAAAGTGCTGAAGAGCAAAAACATATATTGATGTCTAAGATGTGTCTAACCCAAACAATAGTATTTTTAGTGTCATATGCATGTGAAAGCTAGAAAGGGAATAAGGAAGACCAAAGAAGAGTCAATCCTTTTCAGCTGTTGCGCTGACGAAGAATACTCAAAGTACTACAGACTGCTGGAAGAACAAACAAAGCTGTCTGGTCCTGCACCATCCTCACAATCCTTGCTATACTTGAGCCCATCATTGCCGCCAATGTGTCAGTCCATCTTCTTGAGAGTATTCCCCTCTCTTGCTGACCCTCCAGTTAGGCAAGCATGATATCCTTCTCCAGGAAATGGTCCCTTCTGAAAACATGACCTCATTAGGGGAGGTGACATCTTGGCCGTCTCGATACCAAGGAGCATCGTATTTGCAGCATTGTCCACCCACATTATAATTCAAAAGCATCAACTCATCTACGGTATTCATTATTCATTATCCAGCTTTCAAATGCACATTGTTGTTAGGTGATGTCTAGTCGTTTCCAACTCACAGAGACCCCATGCACAGCTGAACGAAACAACACTCGACCCTGTGCCAGCTCCATGATCCCTGCTGTATTTGAGCCCAGTGTCGCATCCACTGTCAATCCATCTCATTGAAGGCCTACACCTCTTTCATTGACCTTCCACCTTACTAATGTTATCCTTCTCCAGGGAACGGTACCTTCTGATAACATCTGAAGTAGGAGAGATGAAATCGGGCCATTCTTGCTTCCAAGGAGCATATCTGCTGCACTTGCTCCAGGCCAGACCTGTTAGTTCTTTTAGCAGTCCATGGCATTTTCAGTATTCGCTAGCACAACTCAAAAGCATCAGCTCTTCTTCAGTTTTGCTTATTCATTGTCCAGCTGTCACACACATATGAAGTGATTAAAAATACCATTGCTTGGTTCAGGCTCACCTTGGTTCTCAAGGAGGGATCTTCACTCCTCAGCAGTTGAAAGAGGTCCTTTGTAGCCATTATGCCAGGTGCTATACGTTGTGCAATGTCCCAACTGCTGCTTCCATTGGTGTCGACTGTAGAAGCAAGCAATGTGAATTCTTCGAGAACCTCAACATTTTATCCATTTATCGTGATGCAGCTTATAGGTTCAGTTCTAAGGATTTTTGTTTTCTTTATATTGAGATATAATCCATACTGCAGAGTGTATTCTTCAATCTTCATCACTAAGTGTGTCAAGTAATCCTCACTTTCAGCAAGCAAATTTGTTTCATTAGCATATCCCAGGTTGTTAATGATTCTTCCTCCAATCTTGATGCCACGTTTCTCTTCATATAATCCAGCTTCTTGGATTATATGCTCAACATATAGACTGAATAAGTGTGAGGAAAGGATACAACCAGGACACACTCTCTTCTTGATTTTAGACAATGCAGTGTCCCCTTGTCCTGTTCGAACGAAGCCTCCTGGTCAATGTACAGAATCTTAATGAGTACAATTAAGTCTTTGGGAATTCCCATTCTCGTTAATGTTATCTACAATTTGTTATGCTCCACACAAATAAATGCCTTTGCATAGTCATAAAACACAAGTAAACATTTTTATGGTACTCTTTGACGTGAGCCAAGTCTAACTGACAGCAGCTATGATATCCCTTGTTCTGCGTCCTCTTCTGAATTCAGCTTGCACCTCTCAAAGTGCTGTCAATATACTGCTGCAACCCCTTTTGAATTATCTTCAGTAAGATCTTACTTGCATGTGATACTAATGATATTATTCAATAATTTCCACATTCTGTGGGATCCCCTTTCTTTGGAATGGGTACAAAAATGGATCTCTTCCAGTCAGTTGGCCAGGTAGCTGTCTTCCAAATCTCTAGGCATAACCGAGTGAGTTCCTCCAGTGAGGTATCTGTTTCTTCAAATATCTCACTGGGTATTCCGTCAATTCCTGGAGCCTTGTTCTTCACCAATTCCTTCAATGGAGCTTTGACTTCTTCCTTTAGTACCACTGTTTCTAGATCATATGCACATCCTGAAATGGATGAAGATCTACAAGTTCTTCCTGGAACAGTGATTCTGTGTATTTCTTCCATCTTCCTTTGATGTTTCCTGTACCATTCAATATTTTGCCCATAGAATCTTTCAATACGACAACTCCAGGCTTAAATTTTTTCCTCAGTTCTCTCAGCTTGAGAAATGCCAAGCATGTGTTTCCCTTTGGGTTTTCCAACTCCAAGTGTTTGCACATTTCATTATAGTAATTGGCTTGGTCTGCTCAAGATGCTCTTTGAAATCTGTTGAACCATTTTATCTTCTCATTTCTTCCATTTGCCTTAGCTACTGTCCTCTCAAGGGCAAGTTTCAGAGTCTCTTCTGTCATCCATTTTGGTCTTCTTTTCTTTTCTACTCTTTTTAGTGACCTCTTGCTTTCTTCATGGATGATGTTCTTGATGTCATCCCACAATTCTTCTGGTTTCGGGTCACTGGTGTTCAATGCAACAAATCTTATTCTTTAGATGGTCTCTAAATTCAGGAGGGATATAGTCAAGATCATATTTTGGCTATCTTGGACTTGTTTTAACTGTCTTTAACTACAAGCTAAAAATGCTCATGAGCAGTTGATGGTCTGAGCCACAATCAGCTCTTGGCCTTGTTTTGGCTGAAGATATTGAGCTTTCCCATCTCCTCTTGCCACAGACGTAGTCATTTTGATTCCTGTGTGTTCCATGTAGCAAAGTACACGTGTACCAGCCACTGTTTGTGTTCCTGAAGAAAGGTATTCGGAATGAATAAATCATTGGTCGTGCAAAAATCTACCATGTAATTTCCAGCATTACTTCAGTCACCAAGGCCAAATTTTCCAACTAGTAGTGATTCTTCTTTGTTTCTGACTTTTGCGTTCCAGTCAACAGTGATAATTAACACATCCTGACTGTATATTCACTCAATTTCAGACCGCAGAAGTTGATAAAAATCTTCAATTTCCTCATCTTTGGCTTTGGTGGTTGGTGCATAAATTTTAATAATAGTCACATTAACTGGTCTTCCTTGCAGGCGTTATGGATATAATTGTGTCACTTACAGCATTGTACTTCAGGACAGATCTTGAAACATCCTTTGTGATGATGAATGCCATGCCATTCCTCTTCAAATCATCTTTCCGGGTATAGCAAATCATATGGTCATCTGATTCAAAATGCCCAAAACAGTCCATTTCAGCTCACTAATGAGTAGGAAGTCAATCTGTATGTGTTCCATTTCATTTTCCACAACTTCCAATTTCCTAGATTCTTACTTCGTACATTCCATGTTCCAACTATTAATGGATGTTGGTAGTTGTTTCTCAATTTGAGTCATGCCACGTCAGCAAATGGAGGTCTCGAAAGCTCTACCTCATCCATAGCAGTAAGGCTTGTTTTACTCTGATGATGCCGCTTTCCCGGTTGCATTTTCAGAGCTTTCTAACCTACATGACTCATCCTTCTCTGTATTGCACAATGTTGCCGGGCTATTCCTAAAGTTGTTCAGTAATGACTGTGCTTCTCTGCTATTCATAAGGTTTTACCTGGCAAGTTTTTGAGAAGTGGATGGCCTATTCCTTCTTCCTAGTCTGTCTCAGTCTGCAAGCCATGCTGAAACCTGTGTATCAAGTGCACCCTGCTGGGTTTAAAGCACTGGTGGCACAGCCTCAAGAGTCACAGTAATGCATCATCACAGTAGGACAAACCGACAGTCAAGATTGTCTCCCTTAGATGTTTGAAAGCTATCCAACTTCCATTTACCTGGATCCCTTTTGCTACCTCCTCCCACTGTCCTGGTCCCACAGTCCTTTTTGTCTCATTTTCCCGCTTTTCTGCCTTGCTGCATATGGGGCGTGGCCTGGGTTCCCTCCCTTACCTGAATCCTCCCTCTGTCCCGGTCCCCCAAGCCTTTTTCTCTGCTTTTCCCCACTTTTCCACCTTCCTGCTTCATATGCATAAAAGGAAATTATAAACACCATGGCTTGGGTTTACCCAAGACTTTGTGTACCTTAGTCTTCAAAGTAACATCTTTGCACTTCCACACTTAAAGAGCTCTTTTACAGCATATTGACCCAGTGCAATACAACATGTCAGATCTTTACTGCTGCTGCCATGGGGTTGATTGTGGAACCAGAAGAAATATTTGACAGCTTCAGTGCTTTTTCCATTTATCATAATGCTACTTATTGCTCCACTTCTGAGGATTTTTGTTTTCTTTATGTTCAGGTGGAGTACGTACTGGAGACTCTAGTCCTTCATCTTCATCAATAAGTGCTACAACACATCTTCACTTTCTACAAGTAAGGTTGGGTCTAATGAGTCTTCCCCCAATCTTGACATGACGTTTTACTTCACACGGTCCAGCTCTTCAGATTATATGCTCAAAATACAAACTGATTGGATATGTTCAAAGGATAAAACTCTGATACACACCCTTCATGGTTTCACACCACGAATATCCCATTGTTATGATCAAAAGACAGCGCCCTGGCCTATGGAGAGCTTCCTCATGTGCACAATTAAGTGTTCTGGAATTCCCATTCTTCTAATGTTACCCATAATTTTTTAGGGCCCATGCAGTCAATTACTTTAGTGTGATGAATAAAAAGAAAGTAGAAATCTTTCTGGTATTCTTTGCTTTCTGCCAAAATCCACCTGACATCAGCAATGATATCCCTCATTCCACATCCTCTTTTGAATCCAGCTTGCATTTCTGGATGTTCCCAGTCATTATATTGCTGTAACTGTTTTTGAATTATGTTTAGCTAAATTTTACCTGCATGTGATACTAATGATATTGGTTGATAACTTCACCATTCAGTTGGATCACCTTTCTCTGGAATGGATACAAATATGGCTCTCTTCCAGTCAGCTGGCCAGGTAGCTTTGTTCCAAATTACTTGCCATATACGAATAAATACCTCCAGAACTGGATTTGCCTGTTGAAATATTCAAACAGGTAATCCATCAATTCCTGTAGCCTAGTTTTTCACCAAATACTTCCCTTCAGCTTTGACTTCTTCGTGGAATACCACTGCTTCTTCATCATATGTCACCTCCTGATATATGATGGGTCAGCACTGAACAAATCTTTTTTTACAGTGACTCTGTATATTCCTTCCATATTCTTTGGATGCTTCTTTTCTCATTCAATATTTTGCCCAGAGAATCCTGGAAAACTGCAACTTCAGGCTTCAAATATGTCCTCAGTTCTTACAGACTGAGAAATGCAAAGCAAATTTTTGTGCATTCCATTATAATAAATGGCTCCATCTTCACGAGCTGCTCTTTGTAATCTCTTCATGACTTTTATCTTGCCATGTCCTCCATTTGCTTTGTTGTTGTTGTTATTATTTGCCGTCGAATAGGCCCCGACTCATAACGACCCCTCTTTGGGTTTCCGAGGCAGTATCACTACAGAAGTGGGATTGCCCAACCTTCCTTCCATTTGCTTTAGCCACTCTAAATTGATGAGCAAATTTTACAGGATCGAGACATCCTCTTTTTACTTTCCTGTCTTTTTAATTACTTTTGCTTTCCTCTTGATGTTCTTGATGTCTTCCAATCAGTCAACAGCTTTTCACTCATTCTAGTTCAATGTCTCAAATCGCTTCTTCAGGTTGAATCTAAATTTAGTTGGGATATAATTGGGGTCACATTTGGGCTCTTGTTGTCCTGTCTGAAATTTCTTCAGCTTCAAGTTGAATGTGCATAAAAGTAATTGATGTCCTGTTCCACAGTCATCTTCTGGGCTTCTTGTGCCAGAAGATATTGAGCTTCTCCATCACCTCTTTCCACACAGGTAATCAATCTGATTCCTGTGTTTTCCAACTGGTGACATCTACATGTACAGTCACAGTTTATGTTGTTGAAAAAAGGAGTAAGTGATGAAGAACTTGTTTGTCTTAGAAAATTCTATCATGAAATCTGTGCCATCATATTTTCCAAATACTGATGATTCTTCTTTGTTTCCAACTTTTACATTCCATTCACCAGT